ATTCCTGCTACGTTTGCCCCTCTCTAGGTGTTATCTGAACCATCTGGGCTTCCTGCAGGTTAATGGCCAAAGGCAGGAAACCCAGGGGCTCCTGGAAGAGGCCTTGGACACCCTGCCCGTCACAGTTCCTTCACAGGAATGTTCCACATCCTCCTCTTTGCTCTGATCTGTATAATGGGATCTTTTTTTTTTTAAAGTGACATGGAGCAGAAGTCAGCCCTTGACTCTGGGAGCACAAGCATAGGAATTAAAGCACTTTCTTGAAATCCCTAACGTAGGTCTGCGGCCTCTGGAAGAAATATTTGCATGCTGCTTTAATCTTCTAAACCATTTACCTCTGTCACAGCAGCTGGGGCTGTGCTGGTGCATTGTACAGATCAGACCAGAACCCAGGATTTTGAGCAGCAGTGGGTCTGCCTGCCCTGAGCAGAGGTGCAGCAGGACCCTCCTGCCTGTGGCAGGTCACACACCCCGGGCTGTGCTGCTGGGTCAGAACAGTGTGGGAAACAGGACCTGCACAAACCCCAGGGAGGGGCAGAGATGGAACCGTGATGAGAACGCCCTGTGCCCCGCGGGGGGGCCACTCTGGTCCAGGCACCTTCTCAGCCCCTTTCTCCTGGAGCCCCCGGGGCTCTCCCCGGGCAGGTCCGAGCCCCTGGGATGCACCCACCTCCAGCCCCTCCGTAGGCAAAGAACCTGTCCATAGTTCTGTCCATAGTTTTACAGCTTCTATTTATTTGTATCATCTCTTTTTGTCTAGGAATGTAAAGTGATCCTAAAATACTACATGTAATAAAGTCAACGAGATTTATTGCATCTATCAAAGCGCACCTGGTTTTCATTCTCAGTTTGTAAGTGATGGCGAGTTCAGCGACGAACCCGTATTGGGGGGGAGAGGAAGTCTCGGCGCAAACGGAATCGTTACCGAACAGTGCGAGAGCAGAACTGCCTGGTGTTGATACGTGGCACAAGGAGCTCCGGCCCCGCAGAGCCCCCGGCCGGGCCTGCAGCCCCCCGGGC